TGTAATTTTATAGTGATTGCTACAAAGTACCAAATAAAAAGGAGGGGAATTTCAGTGGTATGTTTTATGTATGTTTTTATTACTTTCTAAGCAAGAAAAAAGTTATGTATGTAAGATCATATCATCATTGAGTTCTGATCACTTAACTTCCTTTTCAATTCAGATACTTTTTATTTCTTTTCCTTGTCTTATTGCTCTGGCGAGGATCTCTAATACAATGTTGAGTGCGTGTGAGAAGTGAACACCCATGTCTAATTGTGAGACACAATGGGAAAGTTCTTGATTATTTTCCCTTGCACATAGTACTGACTTTTGCTTTTTGTATGTGCCCTGACTTATATTGAATTTGCTTCCTACTAAATCTTTTTTAGAATTTTCTTCAGAAAAGTGTATTGGATCTTATAAAATGCTTTTTCAGTATTCATAGAGATAATTATGCAGTTTTTTACCTTTGTTCTATAGATGTGGTACATTACATTGATTTTTCTAAATGTCAAACCATCCTTGTATTCCTAGAATAAATCTCAGTTGGTCATGGAGTAGGACTCTTTTAACGTTGTTTGATTCTATTTACTAGTATTTTGTTGAAAGGACCTCTGCTGGCTTCATTGGGCTGCTAGCAACAGGGTCAGCAGTTTGAAACCACCATTTGCTCTGTGGGAGGAAGATACGGCGCTTTCCTCCCATAAAAATGTATAGACGTAGAAAACCAGAAGGACGGGTCTGCCCTGTCCTGTAGGACAGAGTCTGAATTGACTGGATAGCAGGAAGGTTGGCCTTTGGTTTTGGAATATTTTGTTCAGGGTTTTACATCTATCATCACGGGAGATGGTGGCCTGAGATGTCTCTTCTTGTCACGCACTGGTTTGGTTTGAGTTTCAAGGTTACACATGGGTCGTAAGATGAATTATGGAGTATTTCTTCCTTCTCTCTATATTGAGAGTTTAAATGACATAGTATCATTTCCCCCCCTAAATATTGGGTATAATTCTGAGGGAGCCGTGTACTCCAAGACTCTTGGATGTTATGGAGAGGTTTATGATCCCAAATTCACTTTTGGCTCTGTTGAGACTTTCTGTTTCCTCTTGAATCAGTTTGGGTACTTTGTGTGGGTCTAAGAATATATCCAGTTATTTAGTCTACCAGTTTGTTGCCATTTACTTCAGAACACCTTTTTTTTTTTTCAAAACTCAAAGCCTTCACATCGATTCTGACACATAACCTGCATAATTCTCCTTATTTTTATTGGGTCAATTGTAATGTTCCCGCTTTCATTTTTCATTTGGGTTATTTGCATCTTTTCTATTCTTTTGTCTGTGAGTCTAGCTAAAGGTTTGTCAGTTTTATTGGCCTTTTCAAAGAATTAGCTTATAGTTTTATTGATTTCCTTTTTGTAAATTTAAATCTGTACTGATCGTTATTTCCTTTCTTCTGGTTATTTCACTATTAGTTTGTTCTTCTCTATTTCCTGAAGTTGTCAAGTTAGGCTGTTAATTAAGATTCTTCCTCTCTTTGTATGTAGGCATTTATTGCTAGAAGTTTCCTTAAGTACTGTATTTCATAAGTTTTTTTTGTGTGTTCATTTTTATTTGACTCAGAACTTTGTGATTTCTCACCTGATTCTTTTTCTTCAACCTATTGGCAGTTAAATCATGTAATATTTAATTTTAATATTTTGGGGGATTTTTGTTGTTGATACTGATATTTAGCTCCACTCCCTTTTTTTCTAATAGTTTTATTGATAAAGAAATTCACTTGTCATCATTACCATAGTTAAATCACTGTTAAAGAGAGTGGTATCTACCATCACAATCGGTTCTAGGATGTCTTCTCCCTCCTGCATTTTTTATTTCCCCAGTTCCCCTCAATCCCCCCAACAATAAAATACATTTTTAATCATTTTATTAGGGGCTCATACAACTCTTATTCATTGCCCTCATCATCCTCAAAACATCCACTCTGCACAACAATAAAATATTACATCAGTAATATTTGTCTCTATGTATCCAATCCTGTGTTTCGTAAACTGGGAAACATAACAGAATCAATAAAAGCAAAACAGGGAAAAATTAAAAAGAAAGAAAGAAAGAAAAGACCACCAGCAATAATAAAATAAACCAGAAAGAAATTTCCTGCCAAAGAAATATTTAAACCTAGAGCAAATCCAGGACGGATCAGGAAGAGGGAGGTCAGCAGACCAGCTGTCACTATAGCATCATTATAGCATAGTCCCATCCACCACTATCAAGTTTACAACAATCTCTGTGTGATAGGAGAGCCGTGTGTGTCCCTTGTGATCAGAGTCACCCTCATTCTTGAAAAATGATTCCACTGGGAATATTATTCTTGTTCGACAGTTTTGTCGTCGTCATTGTTGGTTTAGTTTCTTTCAGCACTTTCTTCCATTGCTTTCTGGCCTTAAATGTTACAATGAAGAATCAGAATGTAGTCTTACTGGGGATCCCTTGCATATGCCTGGTTGCCTCTCCTTCGTTTATCTCAGAATGCTGTCTTTGTCCTTCGTTTTTAAGATCCGAACTATGAAGTGTTTCACTGCTGCTCACGTTGGCTTTATCCTGTTTACGGTTCTTTGAGCTTTTTCGATTTGTAAATGTATGTTTTTGTGTTAGATTAGGGAAATTGGGGGCATTATTTCTTCAAATACCTTTTCTGTTCCTTTTTCCCATCTCCTCCCGGGGTTCCCTGGATGTGCGGGTTAGGTCTCATGCTATCCCATAATTCCATTAAACTGTGCTCAGCCTTGACTATCATCCTCAATGCTCTCTAGGGTCTATACATTTAACTTGCTTATCTTTCAGTTTTCTGATCCTTCCATATATTTCTTCTAGTGTTGTGTATTTTTCCTTCGTTCTTTTGTTTAATGTTGCATCACAGCCTTCCATCACCCCCACCCCCACCCCCGCCCATGGCTGATCCCTTCATCATGGGGGTTTGCATGAGCCATTGTTTCTCTCTTCTCTGTGTGTAGGAGGGGAGTGGTTTTTGTTGTAGCCTGGGAATTTTTGCTGGTGTTAACTTTCTCACTTCTCCCAGCACTCACCTCCATTACTTTTGGAAGGAAACTCAGGTGGAAGCTCCCTGCTCCTTGCTTGCTATTTCTTCTCCCTCTTTTTGATAGTTTTTCTCCTTATGCGATTTAATTGATATTTGAAAGTTTCAGATCCTGGTTTTCAGTCTTCTGTTTTTCCCAATCACAATTTGTTTGAATACGCTTTGTACAACATGTTCATTAAGTATTACCACCGAGGCGAGATGTTTTGTACTCATCAGTACATCCACTAGGGGGTGCAGTCTCCTCTTTCTGATTGTTGCATCCATCCCTTCTATGTTTCTGCAATTCTGTCTTCAGTCAGTTAACTGACTGAAACCCCCTTTATGGCGGAATGCTGCCCTCTGGTTCCAACCAGGGCTTCCTTCCTGCTTTTTGTGGTCTACTTACACTTGAGCTGGTTTTCAGAAGAAGCACAGGCAGATTGCCCTCTGTATCAGGAAGAGAGGGGCTGGCCCTCCCTAGACTCATCTGTTTTGTTTGCTTCACTGCCCTAATGGCCATGCGGTGTTGGGACAGCCATTTTCTCTTAGGTGAACTACCTCCTGCCTCCACTGGGGGGGAACTTCATTTGGCATTTATGTCAGTTCAGCAGCCAACAGGTAACGGTTGTGGGAGGGGTAGTCATATTCTAAACACACCCCTGTCCCCCCGAGGAGGTCTAATTGGTCACTGTCAGAGCCCTGCCTAGAGGAGGTGGTAGCTCTGGGTGTAGCCTCCACTACAGATGCCTGCTTCTTAGCGCACGGTAGGAGCTTCAGTCAACAATCCTCAACATGGGTCAAAGGGGAGCAGACAGAGCAGAACCAACTCCCCGGAAGGTCTGTGCTCTTGGTTTCCGAGGCAGAGTCTACAGCATGCACCCTCTATACCAATTCCTAGACGGTTTACACTGGGCAGTGTCTGGGTGAGGCACTGCTGGGCACGCTCTAAATGACTTCCCAGGGAAGCTCTAGGATACGGATTTTAGGACAGAGGCCTGAGGTTCCATCTCTGCATAGGCTGTGGTTAAGGAAACAAGCTCTTTTTCTGGACCAGGAACATAGTTCACAGCAGGGAGCAGCCCGTGGAGCTGGGCGGAGGGGTGGGAGTGGGTGAGGAGGTGGGCACAGGAGGCAGGGATGGGGATGGTGGGAAAAACAATTTTCCTGTCATACACGGCCTGTTGCCTTGTTGATTCTGTTTCGTCTACTCCCCGAGTCAGAGCCCCTCAGAGTCAAGTCTGCTCCCTGAGTCAGAGCCCCTCAGAGTCAAGTCTGCTCCCCGAGTCAGAGCCCCTCAGAATTAAGCACCGTTTCTTTGCATTGCTTCTTCTGCAAGGGACTTCAAAATGTTTGTGCAAAAATAGACTTGAAGGATAATAGGATCATGGGATATTTTTTTCATGAATTTTTTAAAGGCCCCTTAAATTGGTCCAACAAGTGTTTTCCCAGAATTTATGTGGCATTTTCACCAGCAAAATTATTACTTGCATTTATAGATGTGCATATCAGTCATGCGTGTCTGTGTAAAAGTAATCCTCTTGCCTGTCTCTCCTGTTTTACCCACGAACTTCCTCGTTACCCTGCACAACATTAGGACGCACTCCTTTCTCTGTGTGTCTCTACTATCAAGCAGGTTTCTTGTGGGGTTTTTTTGTCCTAAACTATTCAGTCTAATCACAGAGCGATTTCTGGATGTGGCGAAATAGTAGGAAATTAATGGACTATTTTAAAATTATTCCAAAAGTAAAGTTTCAAGAGAAAAAAAAACCCTTCATCTTTTGTTTTTACTAATTGAGTTCCAAAATCCGTTAGCTTTTCCATTCCGCAAGCATTGTCAGGTAATTTGCATAGGAGCTGCCTGTGTTTTACAGAGCTCTCTAGAGTATCCGGGATCCTGAGCTAACAGAATGATGTTTTCTCTTCCGATTGGCCTGGCTGGCACACAGAGGAGGCCGTCAACGAGGTGAAGCGCCAGGCGATGACGGAGCTACAGAAGGCCGTGTCCGAGGCAGAGCGGAAAGCCCACGACATGATCACAACCGAGCGAGCCAAGATGGAGCGCACAGTGGCCGAGGCCAAGAGGCAGGCAGCGGAGGACGCACTCGCGGTCATCAACCAGCAGGAGGATTCGAGCGAGGTAAGGAGCCCCCTGGACCATCCGCATTGAAGACGGCGATTTCCACATAGACTCTTTCTGTTCAAGGAGAGGATTCAAGAAAAAAGGGATACGATGCTTATTGTATATGCCCAACAATGCTTAGGGAATATGCTTTAGAATACGTTGGGATTGGCTAAAAGGTGATCAGGTAATGTTTCTTAATGAAGGAAAAGCCATAAAGAAAGAATTGGATTTTACTATGTTTGGTGGGTAATAGGTTACAGTGGAATCCTTAATAGCTTTCCAACAGTACTTAGAGGCTGAAATGAATGTGAGTCTGTGTTTGTGTTCATGCGTGTGTGCTAGCACGTCAGTACTCGCATACAGATATGATTTCCACTTAGTAGAAGGGCTTTCATACAGCTCATGGGTTGGGTGTAAGTTATAACCTCCAAAGACATTTGTATACACAGGGATGGAGACATTTCCTTAGTCTAGTGCTAAAGCAACTTTTGTTTCAATGCAATATTTCCAAGAGATTTTGTATATAAGACTTTTCATGGCCATGGCACAGCTTACCGTTGCTGCCAAGATATTGCTTAGTGTTATTCAAACATGATAAGTGAGACGCCGGTGTGTGCATATTTGCACACGCATGACTTAAAACGGTTCTTTCACAAGGATCTGGGAAGCACCCAAAACACAGTATATAGGAGAATGCATGAAAAAATATAGCTCACAAATTCAAAGCAATATAGTAATGACCCATACTAAGTAAGATGCCGCCAGAATCTCTTACCCCCAGGAGAAAGGGTGCCCAAGAACAAGTCACACCAAGCTGACCTAGCGAAGTGTGGACTGAGGACGGATACATCAATGATGTACCCTAACACATATCTGTAATTTGTGAGAAAGAGTAAGGATTTAATTTGAACCAGGCTTCCTCGCAGATGAAAGACCCTGCGGGAATCGCTAGATGCCCAGAGTTTCTGTTTAATGTGAAGCAGATGAATAACAAGGGGACAAACGGGATTGATTTTCAACATTTGAAAATTTCTAGGAAAACAGGGACAAAGGGAAGTCTATCTACCCTTTAACTGCTGGCTTTTCCATTGTTGAATTAAACTGGACATAAATTCAATTTTATTGGCATCTTGCAGCTCAGCTATTTAAGGAACTTGGGTGTTTTCATGTTTTTTTAATTAAAAAAATATTTTGTTGTGAGCATCTTTGGAAGAGAACTTGCCTGGCTTTGTTTTGAGTTTACTGTGAGGCATGTAGTTGTCACCATTAAAACATTATCACTTTTCACATGAACATTTTAGTAAAAGTATTTTGTAGGTCACTTAATTCCACAGATAAGTATGAAGGAAGCAATTGTGGATGAACTCAGTGTAGCTTGGCTGCTGGCAATCCCATGCTGTCTTCCTATAGGGCCTTTCAGCTTCCATGCCTATACTTCTAGGACCTTTGCAGAAACATATTGTCAGAATATAGTGCATCAAACTGGAGGGACGGTAAGTGGTAGATATAATAAAATCATATAGGAGTAATTGACTATAGTAATTGTTGTTGTTTTTCTTTTTGGCTCCATTGGGGGTTAAATTTTCAATATAGTTGATGTTAATATAGCTCTCCCTAACACTTGTCCAAGAATGCTAAAGCTGACTGTGTTAGATGAAAGTTTTTAGAATTCAGCAGCCAAGTTTAATTCCTGGTCTCATCTCTTCTATATTGGAGCACCTTGAGGGAGCCACTAAGCCCTAAAAGCTTTCATTGGGTCATGAGGAATATTCCAGGTGACCGACAGAGAAGACAATATAGTTGTACTTCTTAGTCTGTATTTTTACAGTCCAGCAGTTTTGTTGAAAAATGCCTGTATTTTTACATTCTAGCAGTTATATCCCCTTTGACAATTAAAACCAGCATACCATTTTGTTTTATGGATTTTATGACTTTTATCTTCATTTCCTTAGGGGAAAAAAAAAAGAGAGAGAGGTTTGCCCATCCTGGTAATAGTTTGAGTGAAAAAAAATCTCCCAAAACCTATATTCTCATTATATGTGAGAGTTTAAAACTATACTCAGATAATAATGGACATTCTAAACCCCATGTGTATGACATGCCCAAGGAAGTTTTATGACATGTGTAACTACACATTACTCATATTATTTCAGCAATCCATTACTGACCCTCTATTCCCTTTTAGGGGTGGTGCCAGAGGGGCCAATGGTAAATGAGGTAGATGTGTTCCCTGCCTTCTTGTTGACTACAATGTCTCAGAGCAATCAAACAACCAAATACATGATAGGCCTCACAATAAAGTTTGGTTTGAAGCCGTCTAGGGAAGGTTTTTGTTTGTTTGTTTTTCCATATATGATACTTAAGGTTAATCACAAATTGGTCAGTGGCTTCCAGAAGTAGCCCCAGGCCTCAGTATGGTCTCCTCTTCCAAGGAGCTGGTCCATACTCTCCAGGGGGTGGGGGTGGGTGGGGATGGGGAGCAGGGTGGTATGTCTGTGGGCAATATCATTCAGAGTGCAATGTGAAGAGAGAGAGATTAGAGGAAGCAAGAAGGAAAGGTCAGTTCATTTCATGGTGGTTGTAGGAAGTAGGGTCACTGAGCACGGAGAACACTGGCTAGCTGGGTGGATGCTTAGGAGATCCAATTGGCAAACTTGGCGACTGACTAGCTGTAAGGAAAGAAAGGCTTTCAGTGCATCTCAGATAACCTTACTTGAGAAAAACCATAATGACTTTGTGGCTTCACTCTGCCCAAGGTTGATGTGGGGGCATGGAAGAGAAGTAACCCTAATTCATTTCTTATGGTATAAACCGTAAGCAATTAAGATATGTAAACGTTCAAGTCGATTACTTAATCCAACTAGACAGATACAGACACAGCTTTTCTGTGGACAGGGAAATAAATGAAGATGCAAAGGCTTAAAAAGATGATTCTGTCTAATGAGAAAACTGGCATAGCACACTGTAGTCTACAGACTTCTAAAGACAGGAGGCAGGTGACCATGAATCCTAGTATGAGGGAGATAGTCTCTAGAGATGCCTTTGGCTCTTATGTAGTTGTGAAGAGTGTCCCCTTTCACTCTCACGTCTTGGTTTGGGTAATAAACTAGAAGGTTATATCACTTAAAGCCATGTTCAATGGTTTAGATGGCTTTCCATTGCTAGGAGAGCTCAGATACAGATAGGTACATGGGAAAAATCCAAGAAGAGGTCTCAGGAGACCTGAATTTGGACCCCAGCTCAATCACCACTCACAGGGGCCCCTGTGCAATTCATTTAAGTCACTTCTCTGCCATTTATTAAAGGGTGGGATGTTATTTGCTAACCTCCCAGGATGTTTTAGAAGATTTCTTTTAAATCACTGTTTTAATATGGAGTGTGTGGGGAGCCATAATGCAACAGATTTTATTATCTGTTTATGTGTCTCACAGTCCTTCATCACAGGCTACCAGATGTGTCGTCTTCTTTTACCTCCATTGGTTTGAAACCACTTCCTATGCTGCACATATAGCTATCCTTTTCCCATGTAAATCATGTGTTTTGCGTAACCTGAATATTTAAAAATATGTAGATAATATAAGTGTACAAATTATTTTTTTAACTCTCCCCTTCATAAAATTTTTAGAAGGAAGCTGGACTTCGTACTTAAGAAGTCTAAATGTGTAGGCTTAGCTGTGCTGTTTATATGCATCTTCTTCTAAGCTCGGTTTGTTTGTTGTTCTTTTTTTTTTTTTTAATCATTTTACCGGGGGCTCATGCAACTCTTATCACAATCCATCCATCCATCCATCCATCCATGGTGTCAAGCACATTTGTACATTTGTTGCCATCATCATTCTTAAAACATTTGCGTTCTACTTGAGCCCTTGATATCAGCTCCTCATTTTCCCCCTCCCTCCCCACTCCCCCCTCTCTCAGGCAACCTTGATAATTTATAAATTATTATTATTTTGTCCTATCTTACACTGTCTGACGTCTCCCTTCACCCACTTTTCTGGTGTCCATCCCCCAGGGAGGAGGTCATATGTAGATCCTTGTAATTGGTTCCCCCTTTCCACCTCACCCTCCCTCCACCCTCCTGGTTTCGCCACTCTCACCACTGGTCCTGAAGGGGTCATCTGTCCTGGATTCCGTGTGTTGCTAGTTCCCATCTGTACCAGTGTCCATCCTCTGGTCCAGCTGGGTTTGTTTGTTGGTTCTTGAGAAATGCAGATGACCCCTCAGTTCTTTTTTTCTACAATTTGGGAACTCAGCTCTCTTCTTTCTCAGTTTTCATGCCTGGAAAATGAAGTTTATATACTTAATTCAACTTGGGGAAAAAAACTAGAGTGATTCTGGAAGGTAGACAGGAAGGATGGAAAAGTTTCAGCAAGAAGAGAGAAGAGTTGGAAACGCCTAGAGAAAACAGAAGGACAAGATTTGGAGGCAGAGCAACACCCTGTGGTTCTCTGGAACTCAGCTGGGTCACTTAGCCTCTACCCCAGGGCACTTGGCAGATTCCAGTGGGATGTTCTCTGCAAGGACAGGCCAGTTGTGTATATCGGGACTCCCCTCAGCACATTGGCATCTCCGGTCAGCATAGTATTGGGGATATCCTGGAGTTCATTTTTCCTGATATAAAGTAAGATGATCTACCATGAATATTTTGCCTGCACCAGGTTCACTATACTTTATTTCATTCCGTACTCGGATCCATTATGACAGGTAGGGTTGTTTTCTTTGCGTCTTGGAGGGGTTTGGTAATTTACTAAAGGGCTTCAGTACTCTAGCCTTCTCCTTTATAACCACAAATGGTAGTGTGTTTGCTTTTCCCCCTGGTTGTGTGTTAGTACAGCCATTTCCTTATTGTACTTCCATTAGATTATATATGCCTAGTTCTCTAATTTTACTTGGATTTAAGGACTCTCAATTGATATCATTAGCAGAAATTATACTGGACATGGGCAGATACCTAAGCAGTATAATACTTTATGTACATTCTCTTCTTATACAATGAAGATCTCTCTTTCACCAAG